ATAATGTTCTATAAATTTGATTACTTAAGTACAATTTATCATATTTATCACTATTAACTGGCAAATATAAATAATCACTGGTAAATGTGATTATTTGCAATACATGAAAAAAATTTATCACATTTACCAAAATCATTGGTGATTATGCATAATCACTGGATTAAAATTAATCACTTTTACTGTAATATAAGTTACATATGTTATATAAAATCTGATTCAAGAAAAAATATATACAGTGGTACCTTAGGATACGAAATTAATCCGTTCCGAAACTGAGATTGTATCATGAAAATGTAAGGTGAATCATTTTTCCCCATACGATTACATGTAAAACCAAATAATTCGTTCCAACATGAAAAAAACACTCAAATTAAAGCTAAGTAGTACATTAAAAAAAATGAATAAATATAGTAAGGAAAACACTGAAAAATGCATTTTGTAGTTGTAAATGTATAAATAATCATAATCTATGTATATATAAAAATGGACGTGTATGTCCCTATATTTCACTTTTTTGCAAAAACTACACATCGCACGTGAATGGTGTTTGTATGTGGTGGTAGCCCCAAGTCTCCATTCGTGCATAGGGTTGGTTGCGTCTCGATAACTATAAGGGTGCGGGAGATATGAGGCTGAAAGTGGTTGAAAGTGGCTTTCTATTTCAAATGTTTTGTTTGAATTTGTTCGAATTTGTTAGAATTTAATTCGAACATAAAATTCGAATATTGGTTCGATTATAGAACGATTGTAAACGTTCCAGAAACGTTGAAAATAGTTCGTTTGACTAAACGTAAAAATTCTCTAATTAGTCTGGAAACGGGGGACCTAATTCTTGCATTCTGTGAAAACGGGTAAGATTAGCTATAATGTAATTATTTTAATCTTCACTATCGTTACTTTTTGCCCAGCGAAGCAGGTCCTTGCAGTTAGATTCTAGATTATTTAGAAAAACAGTCTTTTATATATATAAAAAAACTATATTACATACAAATAAAAACCCAGCGAAGCGGGTCATTGCAGCTAGTATAATAATAATAATTGATTAAAAAAATGTAGTTTTATTTGCACTTTACCTTTGAGGATAGATGACAGTGGAGGTGTAAACTGGTGGCAGAGAGGGAGAACGGAAATCATACTAAAATTTAACTTACATAACATATGTAACAATAAAAATAATACCTTATACTGGAACTAGAAAGAATTAATCAAAATTATCACCTTTTTTATAAATTCCAGCAAATAATTTAATATTATAAAAACGTTTTTGATCATCTTTAACAATCTTCATCAGTTAAATGATAAAGTAAAAAGAACATTAAAGAAATAGAAGATAAATTAAAATTACGAAAAAATAATAACTGCGCATGCGTTTGTAACGATGAGCGCGTAACGGAATGAATATAATAATAGGGATATAAGAATATAAAAAATAAATAAAAATAAAGAGCTCAACAGTTTCCTATTAAAAATTAATGTTTCGTAAAAAATTACAGTTTATCTTCATAGAATGGTTTCCATCATGTAGATAGAGAGTGGGCTTTCCTATGATTGATACAAGTTTTCCCTTGGGCTTTATAAGTCTCAAGCTTTTCGAGATGTTTGATGGAGTGCTTGTTAGACGTGGGTCTAATGATGGAAGCTTGGTCCCATATAACCTCAACTCCTTGCTGGTTGGCATAAGATGCTAAAACGGTGCTAGTGTTGTTCTTTCTAATAGAGTATTTATGTTCTTTGATTCTTTGTTTCAAGCTTCTCAAAGTAGCACCTATATAAACACTATCTGAATCAAAGCGACAGTCTTTGATTGGTATAGAGTAAATGCCGGAGGTAGCTATCTGGTTGTCATTCTGGTTACTGAGAAATGATAAAAAGAATGGCAACATTAAGTTACCAGATAGATTGTGTGCTAAAATACTTTGTTTATCATCATCTAAGGTGATATTTATAGGATAAGTGTAAGGGGGCTTAAGTGTCTGCAGTTCACCTGAGACTGTTTAAGTGATACACAAATTGATAACTTTGAGAGCCAATGCTGTAAATTTATTTCAATTTGAATAGAGAATTGGTATTGTTAAAGTTTTTTTTTAAATGACTTGATATAATATCATTTAGCAATTAATCTGTTAAAAGACAAAAGTTTTTTGATAAAATTCTATATTATGTATTTATCATTTTGTTTATACTTTTTACAGAAAACAAAGCATAAAAGAATTGATGTGATATTTGGATATTATTATTGATAAAACATATGATTTAATTTATGTAATGATAGAAAACAACTAAATTCTAAGTTATTTGGTTAATGAATGAATTTACTTAACTTTTGAACATTAACTATGAAATTATATTTCAATAATCTTATAGTTACTATTAAATGATACACTAAATTCAACAAAAATATCATATCTTTAATATACTTTTTATTAAATATTTCAGGAAAGAATTGATATCTTGACAGTGACATGGGAATATATTATGATTTATTAAGTTATAAAACTTAATCTGAATTTTGTGTGTGCCCTTTTCATCAGAGGTATCAGGTTTGATGAGACTCTTCTTTAATGCTTTTGGGTATCTGTGTGAATACATTCATATTGTCATAGTTAAAATAAAAATAGATATGAAAAAAGAACTAGTCATGGAAATTAAACATTGACATATGTTGTGTGTCAATATTTTATTGTTACCAAATAATTTCANTTTTTTTAATTTTTATTCACTGCTTTTTGCTTTCTTTCCTTCACTTCCACCAGCACTTTCACTGGATAGAAGTCACTTGGTAAAATATCTATCCAAAGAGGTTTGGCTTTGCCTACTTTTTAAAATGTTTCTAAAATGACTTAGGCAAATGTCATTACTCCAAGCAGCAATACGGCCAGTGTGAACCTTTTTGGGATGTTTCTTTTCAATAAAATCAGCCACTTTCTGATAATACCTCGAGATTTCATTCATCGAGCAAGATCCTTCCACGACGAAGCAAATGCGCAGACTGAGACCAATGAATAGAAGTGAATAAAAAATGGTGCTGCAAACTAATGTAACGTCATATGGTGAGTTTTTGTTCGTAACGTGGAGCAAAAATATGTTTGAATTTCTTGTCGTATCCTGAAAATTTCGTATGCTGGGGCATTCGTATCCTGAGGTACCACTGTATTTATATATTTTTTTCTTGAATCACTTTTTGGTGATTCAAAAGGTTGTCATTTGATGTAAACCACACTGTAATATGCCAATTTCTTGATTTTATACAATATTTTTAAAAGTCTACAAACTTTAGTTTTTAGCCAGTTTTAGCCAGTCATACATTTCATAGATTATGTATTCTTAATAATTTAATTTTTTAATTAACTTACAATTTCCAAAATAAAGGAATTTAACATAAAGTGAAACATGTGGCATTTTTTATTGGCAGATTGGTCTGTAGACAGTGAAGCATCAGATTTGTTTACTAAAATAAATTTTTATGGGTTGGTCATTTGAAGGAAATTATGGACTTTTGCAAATTTTTCTATTAAAAAAATTAAACAGGTACATAAAATATATAAATATAAAGAAAGACAAATTTTCCGAAGAAAAATCAAGAGAAAAGATGACAAAATTCAACGTCACACGAATCCAAAGACAAATGTGCCTACAAAGGCCTCACACAGATACAACTGTGCCACAAACAAACAAAATGGCTCTTTTATTTATAAGATTTATGAATCAGTAAAAAAAATAAATGATTTAATAATAAATTTCTCAAAATGAATTTCTAAGGATGTGAAAATTAAAATATATACAATATCAATATAGGTTGCAAGTTTTTAAATGAGGAAATTTATATGTAAAAATAAAAAAATATATAAATGTAATGTAATACAAAGTGTACTATGGTGATGTGATTTGAAGAAAATTTTTTCAATATTTATCAGGAGGCAAGATGGACGATTTATTGGGTTGTTTTGTAAAATTCAAAATGAGTAAATACTTTATTAATTTTGTTATAAATCTATTTTTTCTAAACACCAAAAAGTGATTCAAGAAAAAAATATATAAATATATATTTTTTCTTGAATCAGAGTCCTCCTTTTAAAAAGGAGGACCTTTTGAGATACACTCAGACGAAAAGATGGAGTGAACATGCATGATGAAGGTTATAGATTTTTCACAGGAATATGTAAAAATAGCCAATCATAATAAATAAAACTGTTAAAAGATATAGAATATATACATTTTTAAAAGTTAAAAAGTTTAGAATGACTTAAAAAATGTAATGAATAGTGACTTATTACATTTCTTAAGTTGCTAAAAACTTTACAAAATTTAAATTTTATTATAAATGTTGAGTGTTATTAACTGTACTGTTAACAGAAAGATGAATGTGTTGAAGTAGAAAAATATTAATCAAAGATACTGAAACATTTAATAATATATCTGATTGTAATATAAGTTTTAAGAAATTTACTTTAAAAAAATATTTAATTGTGAATTAAGTTACCAGGAGATAAAAGTTTATTTGTGAGACAGAGTGAGGAGCTTGGCAATTGCCAAAATCATTATTATGACCAATGTGATGAGCCTGTCACATTGATCACAATAAACATGAATATTTTTATTTACTTTTTTGGAATTTTAAATGTTATCCCTTAAGACTGCAGTAAATAACTGTTTGCAATTTAAACATTGATGATGATAAATGAATACTTGTTGTATTTAAAAGAATGATAGATTTCGATTTGGAATTGTTACTGTAGTGATATCTACAGGTTTCCAATTGTGGAGATTGCTGTAGTAAAAGTTAAAATTTTTTCCTACTGGCCATAATGTGATGTCATACGAAGTGTTGAGTCCAACACGGAACTCAGTTTCTGGACTTGGACTCACCTTTCACTACTCCTTGCTCTACCTCCCTCAAATAAACTGTTTATTTGATCATCCTGTAGAATAATAATGATTAATTTAATAAGATTATTAATAAAAATATATGACAACTTTAATCTTTGAAATGTATTTTACAGGAAAATACTTTTTCGAAAACAATTATTAATGCCAAAAAATTAAACTTGGAGAAAATGATGGAATCTTTAAAAATTCATCATGATCATTTAGTCATTTTAACTGCTATTCTCAGTAATAAAATTTTATCAAATCATTTTATTCCTTGTAGTAGTAATACACTTAAGTATTATAAGGTAAAAATTATTTTTTAAAAATAATTTTAAGAAATTCAATAAATTATTAAAATTCAAAATATCTTTCTATTGTCTTTCAGAGTTATAACAAGGACATTTTTACAGAATTTATTAAATTAATTGTTAATTTGCCTACTGAATTTGAAGTTTCAGAATTAGCATCAAATTTATTTAGTTTGTCTGCTCAGGGAAAACACGAATTGTTTATTAATTGGTTTAATTATTACAAAAGTTTTAAAATTAATGATAAAGAATGTTCAGAGGAATTGAAAATATCAGGTTAGTAAAAATTTAATTTTTAATAAAACAAATTTTTATTCGCTAATTGTTAAGTAAAATATCTGAATACTGTATATTTCCACAGATAAGACGACAGTTGAATCATAAAAAAAGCCCCCAAAATCCAGGGTCATCTTATAGGGCAGATACAAAAAAAAAATAATTTAAATTTATATAAATTAAAACTATTATAAAAAAATGGACAAACCGTAATTATTTACTAGTAGAGAGTAGGGTATGTCTACAAAATAGAATAGCCCATACGACGTTTTTGTGAATAGTGGTCATTACACAAATGCCGGAATCATTGCAAATGTTTGCAACAATCGCAAGGCAGTGCTACCAGATGCAAGAAATTAAAATTTGTTCATTCGAAAAATTACAAATAGGACTATACAGTATTATTATTCAGATGATGATTGCTGGTCTAAACTAAATTCATAGGTCATCGATAGTTCGGGGTCGTCTTATAGGACAGATATATGCTAAAACTATAAAACTTTGACGAAAATTTATACCTTGTCTTATCTGCGGAAATATACAGTAATAAATCTTGATACATATCAGACTTTTTTCATATTTAACAAAAAAGACATTTTATTATAATTTTTTAAAACACATTTATTTTTTAGTGATTATTCTATTAATCGTTTAATGTTAACAAAAGTACAACAACATAACAAATCTCAAAATATTATGACAAATATTGTAGATTCCTTTTTTCTTTTTTTGTGAATTTTTTGAAAATAAATAAAATCCCACTTTGCAAGGACATTATGGACTGGAGGTTAGCCTTCGCTAAAGTGTTAATTTTGTCAAATCTTCAGAAAATATTATCTTTTGTTTTTATTTGCATTTATGCTATATGTTAAACATCTGCATTCTTGGCTTAAGTCCATTTTGGTTTTAAAACTTTATGATAAGATTGCTCTGCTTTCTTGATATATTGACATGTTTTAAAAGGAACATACAGGAAAAAGAACTTGTATTACCAAAAATGTTGAATGTTTCACCATTAATTATGATCAAGACACCTGCAGAGAGAGCTGAATCTTGGTTAATGAACCCCTAAAGATGGCATGTAAAAGTTATATGCTTTAGTGAAAAAACACAAAGAAGTTTCATGGAAGTTTCACATATATGATTTTTTCCCCTATTGAAAATATACATGAATGTATGTATTATTATTTTTTATCTTTTTTACTTTCTCAGCTGTTATGTATACATAACAACTCTGTGAAATTTTTGCAAATCTCCACGTTTTGAGACCACCTGAACCCAAAAATGTAAAAAAAAAATCCTGTGTGTGTGGGATCTATTTCATTTAATATCTCAGAATGGGGTGAAGATTAAGAAACAAAATTTGGCACAGCAGCTTGTGTATAATGGGCATTGGTTCTATAAAATTTTGGTAATGAAAGGTTAAGAGAATGGGGAGGTAGATGGGGTAATGTGTCATATTTCAAGTGGGGTCGGACTTAGTAAAGATGTTGTACATCACTAACATTTACATTTTTTATGAAACTGATCACTATCCTCAAAATTAAGCTTTTCACTATTCAATAATAATTAAAAATATAGAATTTTTTAATAAAATCTCATAACAAATAGCACCACATATAATTTTATTTATTTTATTGCAATTAAAAATATAAAATGTATTTTCTAAATAAAATCTCATAACATATTGAGATGCCAGGAAAGTTGCATAACTTATTGCTGGATTTTTTAATTTTGAGGTCAATTTAATAAATGTAACAAATGCTATGTCTAGATTGAAGCTTGGTAAAAAAAAAAGTATTCTCACATTTTAAAGCAGTGACAATTCCAGTCTGCGTAAGATGGAAAATTTAGCATTTATGTAATTCCAGCTTTCACGGATTTTACTACAATAATATCAATAATTAGATGTTATCATGATGTATTATTCAACAATACAGATGTAAAATTGTTTGTTTTCAGATAAATCCCTTGATGAAAACAGAAAGGAAGATGAATGTACGGGTACATATCAGGTATAATTTGTGAATTTTCTAAAAATTATCATACATTTATTACCCTAGTAATGGACATATTTATATTTATAGATTATATTTACATTTGTAGAAGCTAATAAGTAAATTTAGTTATTTGTTCTTATAAATATACAGTCAAACTTGGTTATAATGAACATGGATATAACGAGCAAATTTTCTGTAGTGATACAAATACATGAACATTCTTAATTGTTCAAATAGTAAGAAATACAATACTGAATTCCTGGAAGCAATAAAACTAAAAGGATTACTTAGTTTTACGACTACTGATAATTAGTTTTATAACCTGCAAAGATTACAGACCTATTTATCACTTAACTTTCTTTTTGAAAGTTAAGTGATAAATAGGTCTGTAATCTTCAAGGGAGGACAGTCTTCTCTTTCAAGAAAGAGGAGGACAGCCTCCTCTTTCAAGAAAGAGGAGACTGTCCTCCTCTTTCTTGACTAGCTTGCAGCCCTACTCTGCTAATTTACCTAATCATTACTATGATTGTAAAATTACCAAATACTCTAGTTAGAAAAGAACTTTTCTATGAGAAAGATTTTAATGAAGAAAAGAAAATTTCTCTTGGTTTACAAAAAAATAGAAATTATTTATGAGTTAGAGCATGGTCCTAAAAACGTCGAAGTGTGTAGAAAGTTTCTTTGTCGTCTTTGACAGTATTGACATTATGGAAAAATAAAGCAATCATCAGTTTTAAGATTTATAGATAATAAGATATATATATATATATATATTTTGAATCAACTTATTTAGAATAACAAATTAAAAGATATATTTTACTAAATATCAGTGGCATAGCTACAAATTTGGCTGCCTGCAAGGCACCCCTACATGTTTGCGTCTGAAACAGCTGCCCATTTTTCCCTAGTTATATCACTGCTCTTTACGGATATAACAAGTAATGATTATAACAAGGAAATCTTGCTGGTTCCATAATGCTTATTATAACTGAGTTCTACTGTAATTCAATTTTCTATATTTTTAATGGATACTGAAGCATTAAACTTATTTAATAACATTTAATTATTCTATTATATAAGTTTTGGAACATATTTGAATTTTGCAAACTCTAACAATTTATATAAATTTTTAAATTTAGAATTAATTTGATAATTATTTTTGGTACAATTAACACACCACATGTCACTGCATCAGCAGAATCAACAGAAACAGTCATTAAATCTTATATTTGTAATTCAAAAATTATTGTAATTGTTAATATTAGTACAAGATGGTTGTACCACTTAGCTTCATAACAAATTATTTTACTATCAATTCTTAATAGTTAGTGACAATAAAGCTCAAAGAATCTGACATTTAATTGTTTGATTATTATGAAATATTCAGACTAAGTTGTTTATATGTAATCTACAATGAATTTCTAACAGAGGTGAAATAGAAAAGACATTTTAATGTTCAAAGTGGTACTTAATAAACTTTTGTTAAGTGTCATACTTTCAATGGTCTCTCTGAAGGCACAGGGTATTTGATGGTGCAGGCTATGTTGAAGGTTTTATTTCCATTTTATGAATTTTTTGTGGGATTTGTATATCCCACAGACACAATGGTGTAGGTTATATTCCATTACAAGTTATCTATGCAAAATGACAGTATGTTGTATGAATTAATATTATGTATTTTCCATATTTGACAAATTGCCTTATAAAAATTATTGTTTTTGTTTTTTTGATTTTCAATTAATATTTTACTTCTGAAATATTTAAAAAATAAAATGTTGTATGTGTTGCTATTTTAATTTTTATATTTTAATGCAACTGTAAATTAAATGGTTCAGAATAAAATTATTTTTAATCCTTAAAAGTCATAAAATAAAAGTTGAAAGCATCAGATTTTTAAAATTACTTAATATGTATTTCTTATCTTTTCAATTGTTTTTAGCCTAAAGAAGAGAGAACATTCCCAGAAATAAATATGAAAATACTAAATATTGTATTGGAACGTCATAGGCTGGGAGCAATGAATCCTTGGATTTATCAAGTTTTAACAAAGGTAACTTGTATATTTTTCAAATGATAATCTATACTTTCAAATATATATAGTATATTCTTTTTCTTAACATTCAAAAACAAAATAAAAACTGCTTGTATCAGAAATATAATCTCAATTTTCTAAATAATTTTAAACAGAAGTTTGAAAATGAAGGGAAAATGGAAGAATGGTAATTATACAAAGTTTATACAAAATATAAAACAGAAGTTCAAAAACATTTAAAAGTTAAAGTTATATTTCAGAAAAAAGCAGTTTCTATTTTGTATAAGCAAAAAATAAATAGAATAATTCAATAAATAGTATATGTCTAACTACACCAACAAATTTGTTGTCAAGGAAATTGTCCTTATTTGTTAAGTTTTCCTTGATAACAAATTTGTTGTCAAGGAAAACTTAACAAATAAGGAAAGGCAACCAAATGACTACCTAACTTAAAAATTTCATGTTTAAAATAAAAGTTTATGTGAAATTAAACCTATGTATAATAGTTAAAAATTCTTGATCATAAACAGTTTTCAGAAAGAAAGAAAGAAAAAAAAAAAATTTTAAGTTATTGTATTTATATTTTCTGACACACATATTTGTGAATGGTTATGTCTTGTCCTATGAATTTGTATCCCTTAATAAAGTTTAAATAAACACATTTTTGTGTTTTACTCATTAAAACTTTATTAACGGCAATGGACAGTGACCTTAAAATTTAATCTGGTAAGAATCTGGCACGAGAAGATAATTATTTTTTTCATATGAATATAACCCTTTTTCCAGTGCGACTCCAAAATGCCACAATTCAAATGTCACTAACTCAAAAATAGCCACTGAATAGCCAATATTTTTAAAAATTAAAATTTAACTACAAATAGAAATATCACTATTGGTATATAGTTAATACTTATGTGAATTTGCACATTTTAGAGAAGTCTTACTTTCAATTAAGTAGAAAGATAATTCATTATGAAATACATTACAGTAGAGCCCCACAAACTTGACTTAATACAGACTGTGAATTTGCACATTTAATACATTTACAAAACTGTCACTATTTAGACTAGTATCATAGTTTTTCTCATTTTACTGTTAACATAGGATCTGTAAAATGAGAAAAACCTATGATGCTAGTCTAAATAGTGACAGTTTTGTAAATGTATTAAATGTGCAAATTCACAGTCTGTATTAAGTCAAGTTTGTGGGGCTCTACTGTAATATATTTCATAATGAATTATCTTTCTACTTAATTGAAAGTAAGACTTCTTTACATTGTTTAATTTGAATGAAAGGTGAAAAACTGATAATAGACCAATAGCTTAAACTGAGACGTCATATAGGTATAAATATTATTTGCTGTCAGAATCAGTTGTATATAAATATATAATTGAGTATATATAAATAAAGTAAGTTAAAACTTACTTTATTATTCTCATTTTCATGAAATTAGTTGCGCTGAAATGTTTAATAATACTCATAACTGTCAGTTATATTTATCACTAGAAAAGTAAGGAAAATACATAGTAACCGGTAATTGGAAACTCCTTATACTTTGTGGGTTGCATTACTAAATGTCTTTCAAATAAGCTACATGCACTGATTTTTTGTCATGATTTTTTAGAAAAAGTGTACAGATTATTCAAGTAAATATAGTATTTATCATATGATAAACTAAATGTAGCATATGTGTATATATATAGCATTGACATGCTTCAACATTTTATTTCAAGTAACTAATACAGTTTGTAATTATTGCTAATGTAGTTTGTAATTGAATATTATGCTAATATATAATTTTTTTCTGTTAATTAAGCATGAAATCAGATTTCCAGTTGGAATTGAAGAAGCAGAACCAGTTGAAATACCATCACAAATTTATTTTTATCGCCCAATAAGACAAATTGCATATTCAATGTTGTTAAGAGAATATAAAACAGGTAATTCTGTTTTAATCATAGTCTATACTATTTGATTTTTTTCAATTAGATTTGTTTTATTCAAATATTGTTTATTTTTTAAGGTGTCAAATGAAAATTGAAATTAGTATTCTTTTTATTATAGAATAATAGATAAATTTTCAATAGAAATAATTTTTAATGAATTTATTTTCTTTGAAATTTTTCAAAAGTTAAAAAGTCTAGTTTACAAACTTGCATTACTCATATAAATTAGCTATTTTTTATCATAAAATAACATTCAAATTAAGAATTTAATTATATTAAATCATTATATTAAAAAATTATATGTAAATTGTTGGGTCGGTTGTTTTTGCATGTGTGAAAACCTAATAACTGGGTTCCGATCAGGTTACACCTGTGTGTAGGCATGAGATTCAGGGATGTCTTTTGTTCGGGTCAGTTAGATGAGCAAGATGTGACAGGAGTCAAATCCAGACTGTTATAGCTAACCAACTTGAAATTCTTTGTTAGAGATTAAACGATTAGAGATTGCAATTAGAGATCTTTACACTCTAAGATTTTAACACAATTATATTCATTAATTACATATAATTAACCTATCCAATGTTGAATATTTTCTCTGTCGCGTGTTGCTCCACGTTGAATTTTTTTCAACATTGAACCTAACGTCACACGTTTTAGAAAAATAATAATTATGGCTATTGTATCATTCCAAATTACTTTATATTTTGCACACAGAAAATAGACATATTAATAAATGTAAAAACAAAAAATTTTATTTTGGAAATTAATTCTTGCATGGTAAATCTTAAAGCAAGGAACAACACATAATGGAACGGAACATTGTTCACACTGATAATGTGATTCTACTTGCTTTTTGTTCGCTGAACAGACTTTACAAACTCTGGTTGGATGTTTTTTTTTTCTGTTGGTGTATGTGGTCAGGAAAATGCCATTTGGATAAACACAATGTATTTTCATGTGACAGTCGACAGCGGCAGGTTACATATCTGTTTGTGTGAAACTTATCCATGACTTCTCTAATTACAGACATATGAAAATCAAGAAATGATATCTGTTTTTTTGTATGATGTCAATACAGAACACAAGCATTATATAGTGCAATATCCAACATATGAAAAAAACACTTATTTGTACCATTTCACAGTTTTGCTCATGCACGGATAATTGTGTATCACTCCATCACAAATCAATTTCACCCATATTATGATTATATTCTAAAACACAATTCAGCTTCATTATTATATATTCTGATCTGTTACGTTTACCAGAATCTTAGAATTTGTTGTTACTCATTGTACTTATTGGCATATCTCGCTTATCTCTCTAACAAAACACAGACAAACCATCTTTCTGACAGGTTATATATTCACCTTCCTTCAATTTACGATCAGGAAAATTGCATGGCATTCCAATTCAATTTTTGTTCATAGTTCCACATACATATGTTTGTTAATCCAGAAGCGTTTTTGCTAATGCTAGTGAGGTGAAAAACCTGTCTAAAAAACATTGTAATTTGTACCAAGCAACAGTTCTAATAAGGTAAGCACAACTTTTTCACCTTGGCCATCTTCAAAATTTCTATATTCTGTTGTAGCTCTCATGTAAACTAAAAAGTCCCAAACATATCCTGTTCATGACTCACAAATTTCAAAGCTTTTTATGCCAAAATGAACAAGCTTGCTCAGTATATATTGTCTAAATCCCAGTCTGCCTTTCCATAACATAAGACTTTCATCTACACACATTTTCATCTGGAATGTAAGAATATTTAATTTTTGGTGAAAATGATTGATAACACTGCATAATTTATGCAGTTTATCATTGCAATCTGATGCTTGATTATTATCAGTAAAATGCAAACATGACAATAAAAGCAGAAATCAGTTGCTTGACATTGCAGTTGAAAAAAAATGATGTAGAAAAAAGATCTTCATTTGTAAAATACTTTCATTTTTAATGATACTTGTGACCATAATAAGTCCTAAAAATTCTCTAATTTCTGGATTTGTCATTTTCCAGTTTTTATATGACTATTTTCACATAAATAGTCATATTTCATCAAACTATCATCATACCTGTTTGTTTCTTCAAAGGTCTTGTCCACAAGTTCATCATTAAAAAATACACTAAAATAGTCAAATGGTGTAGCATCACTCTATAAATTACATTGGATTTCTGCTTGTCCTGTGAAACTGTTTACTTGAGGGCTTCTACTTTCCTTTGTTATTTCTTCTGAACATCTACCCCTATTGTTTGAATATCCTGCTGTCAAAAACTAGATAACATAATGATTCTTTTGATATGAGTCACTAATTTTGGAAATCCGTACAAGTAGCTACATTTGATGATAAAAAAAAGTTCCTAAGCAGAAACAAGATATCTTGGGTCCACCCATTGAGATCAGTGGTCATGACCCTGAGAATTGTTGGGAACAACAAGGGATAGGTTAATCTGCTGGTTTTTGGTTTTTGTAATATGAGTTTGTTTATGATTAACCAGTTTTTTGCAGTTGTAATTTGTATGTTCATTAATCTCTATTGTATTAATTACAATAGAATTTTATTTTCATATGGCATATTCAAATAAATTGATTTTTTTTTTTGGACAAGATTTTCTACTTTTAAATTGTTATTATTTTGTATTTATTGAATTAACCTTAATAATAATAATTAACCTTAATCTTATAATAGTCACAAAATTCTGAATGGCTAACATAAGATTTTGTATATTAAAGTGAGACATTTATTTTGAAGTTATTTAGTTCTTTAGCAACCAATAATAGATTATATATAAATTGTCCTTTAAACAGTACTTATGGAAAATATATAAAATTCTAATTTACAAGTAATCTTCAATATCTCCAATGGGGAAAACTATATTCTAAACTCCAACTTAGAAAAGTTAGTTCTGAATTTATGATTAGAGAGTTAAAAATTCCTACAAACAGATGAATTTAGATTATTTATACAGTCGGTGCTCTCTTAGCTGGCTGCAGAATACTTAACCACTGTTTTAATTGGTCATTGGCTGCTTTACTACTAATTGTTGATTGTCTTTTATTAATCTCAAGAACAGAGTTAGCTATGAAAATTGAGACCAGATATAGAAAACTTAGTGGCCAGAGACACTGATGAACTACATACAAACTTCCAGTCTGAACTATTTAAAGATGATTAAAAATTGTGGCTCAGGTATATGTATATAAATATAACAAACATTGCAAAGCCCAATGAGTATATATAGAAACATCCAATGATTGCCTAAATGATCAGGCTACAATTTGCTTAATTAAATAATTAATACAAAGTAATTTGTCACTAGAGGGACAAATTACTTTGGCATTAATTATTGGCAAGTTCACCGCATGGCAAGCGGAGGTTGCGGGTTCAAGATCTGACCCAGATCAGTTCTTTTCTTCCAGATGGTTCTAAATTATTTAATAAATTATTAAAATTATAATTATTAATTTAGTTAAGAGATGGTGCCTATAATTATTAATTTAGTTAAGAGATGTTGCTTCTAGTGAGAAATTACTTTATATTAATTTATTTAATTAGCCAAATTGTAGCCTGATCATTTAGGCAATTGTTAGATGTTTCTATATTCTAGCCCAGCATTGTGATGAGATCAGGATAATTAATTGTTCGTTCAGTTTTAACATTTCACTGAAACAGTTTGTGGATTTTGTTGTGATTACTACTGCATATGATAACTGTGATGAATAGTATGAAATAAAAGTATTGTTACATGGCAAATGCAATTAAGAAAAGGGATATGGGAGAATCTGTGAGAAAATTTGCAATGAATTAGGTATTGGAAAAAGTACAGTTAATGATTAATCACAAAACAATCAATCAATAAAGGATATTTATGAAATGCTGCATTTGCAATGATGTTCAAAGTGTTATGAATCTAGAACAGTTGACCTGATCATGATCCAAACGAAAGATTGAAAATGTTCAGGATCTTCTTTTTCAGGATCTTGGATCTTGGATTCTCCATCTGGTTCTTGAGTATAGCCCACAGGTTTGATTGATTATGTTAATATTAGGGTTTAATGCTGTCCAGTCCGGTCCAGGTCATCAATGTTGTGGACCACAAACCACTGTTGTGTTTACTTCACAATTTGTGGGCATGCATTGTAATGCTGAGGAGTGTATCCTTCTGGATAGAGCAAACTCATCATCTCCAATAAACATTCATGCGAGATGTTTTGATATTGTTAAATTTGAATGGATTCTTGGGTGATTTTGAGTGGTGTGATCCTTTGAGTGCTGATGCCAACCCTATACCATGACAGTGGGTCTGTGTACTACTGTTGGTTTTTGTGACCAGGTCTGTCCACATGACATCAATTTGTTTCAGAACAGCTCAAAATAACTCTTATCATTAAACATTACCTTGCTCCAGTCTCAATTCAAATTGGCCATGGCCCAGAGCATTGTCATTTGTATTCTGTTGTTAATATGGGTATATTGAGAGGCCTCCATTTATTGATGCTGACATGATAATTTCAAGGAACACTGGGTACATATGCTCACTTTTGGATCTTCCTGTTCCTTCATCTCTGTGGCAATCTGACACAATGACCACTTTGGGTGACACAGCACCAGTTGTGCCACGTGTCATTTGTTGTTCACTGAGAGTCTGATTCCATCCTGATCCCAACGTACATTCTGGTCCACATCTATCCTTATACCACTTCAACATTCTGTATGCAGCAACACTGTGAACACCAGTTAATCTGGCCATTCATTCACATCCATTATCATGTTGTTGATAAGCATGTAGAGTGCCTTTTTTATATCTCTTCCATGGTGATAGCATTGGAGTTTAGGGGTCAAAATAGTGAGTCCAAACCTGTCACAATAACAGGGTCAATCTCAAATGAACATATAACATGCCCTCTGGTAGTGTAATGAAATTAAAAGATTTGAAATTAGCATAGATGAAATGTATAGCCTTGGTCAGAAATATCCCTGTTGCCATTTTTATTCACTTCATACCATATAATAATAATATTTATCATAAGAAAGAAAGACTACAAGTTGGGCACAATTTTATGGCACATTGCAAACAAATAGACAAATCACACAATGAACATGATGCATTTATTTGGCAATTTTTTTTTTTCTGAGGGACAAATTGCATGTCTTGAAGCTATACTGGTTTATATGTGTCTTCCATAGCAATTCCAAGAATATCTGAGGCCAGAGTACATAGTTTCCAAGGTACTTTTTTATTGTTTATTTTCTCTTCATATGGGGGTGTACAGTGCCAGTTCTTTTAAAAAATTGGAGCAAGATAATACATTTTTCTTAGATAACTAGTAAATAACATGAATGTTTTCTCCAGATTTCTTTCAAAAACTTTTTACTGTGTAATCTCCAAGTTCTGTATCAATCATTTACTTGAAGAAGCCATTTTACCATTTTCATACCACAAATTTTCTAAATATTTTGCATATGAAATTTTTAACAATTGAGTTGTTGCAATGCAGACTACTTTTTATAATATTAACTAATTCTCAATATTATAAAAAGTAATAATCTTATTTATATAAAAACATAATTTCTTAAAAATTATTTTACTTATGTAATTGCTACTGATGATATGGAGTTAATTATTTCAATATTAGATGTGTAGTGAATAGTTACTCACTACATGTCTCAAAAAATAACTGACATTAGAGCATATTAAAAATTACACCTCTCCCACTATTCCATTACTCTTGGTATCACAAATTGTGTCTAGGCTGGGTTACAGAGACCCGTTGATAACAGTTATGGGTTAAACAATAATGAAAGGTTAGTTTAGACCAGGAATCTTGTAGTCGGAGTTGGAGTCATGGAGTTTGGTGTTTAGTTGGAGTCGTCAAAAATCCGCCAACTCTGACTTCTTTTTACTTTTCTAACTTGTTATGTATATAAAATGGAAAAGTATTGGAATGGTGTCAAATTTGACACTCCAAATTTTTGGCAAATTCTCAAAATTTTTGGCAAATCTACATGTTTGGAGACTTCCTGAACCCTAAAAATGTCAAATAAAGGGGGAAAATTTCTATGTGTGTTAGTGTCTAATTTGTTCAATTTCTTTATTCTTTGTTCTGTGATATTAGCAGTGATGTCAAGAGATATTGCTGGCGCAAGGAAAAAATTTACATGGGCTTCAGGAATGATTGAAAAAAGTTGTGGAATGAAGTCTGGGTTCCTGTGAATCTCGAGCCTGGAAAATTTTACTTCATCGTCCCACTCTCTCATTGATCCTGTCCATAAGATGCTTATTAAAAATTTCTGCATAAAATGTTTCCTTGTGAGATGTTACAAAGTGTCGATTCCACGAAGCAATTTTTACCTGCCACGTCAGTGGCCAATTGTGTTTTCCTCAGAAAATGCATGCACAGAAATTCTGTAGTCTCAATAGAAGGGCAGCACAATTTTTGATATTACTGATATTGGGAGTTAATACTGAAATTTATGAAGTTAATTAATTTAACAACCCAATGCTAAGAAACTAAAATTTTAAAATTTTGATTACAAATGAAATTCATTACAGTTGATTCCAGTATTGACAATTAAACAATTTCTAACTGATTTCTAACCAACTAATAGTTTTATTTTGTATTTTTAAAAAAAAGTCATCAGAATTTTTGTCATTATTACTTTCCTGACTGTCATACAGTATAGGCCTCTAACAAAGAAAAAGAATGAAGATCAGTCAAAAATGACTTTCCCAGATTTCTATTCTTTTGTATTTGGGAAACTTTGAAATGTAGAGAAGTGCAAAAATATTTGGGGACTTTTTTTATTCAAAAACCACAGATATTAAGCTTCAAACAGGGTGAACAAAATTATGTCCCACACACAGTCTAACATCTATACATACAGGAAAAAAACCTTGAATCTTTTGCATATCTTGACATTTCAAGGTATCCCAAGTCCAAAAATGTAAAAATTTGGGGGGTCATTTTTTAATCGATTGGTACACTTTCCCTCTGTTATATATAACAGCCAGAAAAGTGAAAATTATCGAATACATATTTGTACCATTGACTATGTCATTACTTAGAAGAGTGTTTTAGCTTTGGAATAAAAAAGTTTCTACATTCTATCTTTATTAGAACTCTATTTATTGAAACCTATATTCTGAGGTCACTTGATGACAGAATTCCTGGCCTATTATGGTAACAAGTCTGCCCCTGGTCAGAGTCGGATGGTAAGGCAAAGTCAGAGTTGGTAGATTTTTACATGACTTCACAGCCCTGGTTTAGATATAAAGAAAACTAGCAACTTGATGACAAGAGTTAATAAATGAATTGATGTATACAGATAGCACTTTATATAATTAGACTGTTTTGTTTTGTGTGTCTAAATGTTATATTCTGCACTTAAACACATTACAATATTATGTTTTTTCATGTGTTAAGAACCACTGTTATAGATGTATATATACACCATGCCAGGGTAAAACAATGGCTGGCTGAGTATCATAGTGAGTGTTTATAGGCCATGGTAATCTCAAGTCAGTGCCATAATAACCATGGATGGTTATTTCTAACGTATTATGCTCTGTTTATAAAACTTTTTTGTTAAAATATGAAATCTTTATCTATTCTATTTCTTCTGAGTTACCTGTATTTTGAATTTTGGATGCAGTCTGCTTTTTTGCATTTACTCTTTACTAGACATTTATTTCTAAGAAACTAATGTACTTTCTTATCAAAAAATGAACATATTGTAAATGAATAAAATGTGTCTTCATCCAGTCTACATTTGACAATTTGTAAGTTAACTTTAACTTTATTCAATCAATTCTAATGCACAGATATAGTAAAGAAGAAGAATTTTGAAATATAACTCTAAACAAGAACTTTAAAAAATTTGATTGTTAAATAATTTAAATTTTTTTGTATTTTTTAGATTATAACATAATCTCTGTTAAAGAGTGGATTTGGAACAAAAGAAATAACTATAATTATCCAGAATCAGTCAATATTTCATCTCTTGATGAATCAGTATTACCTATTGAAAGGTTATGGTTCGGAAATACTGCAGATGATATCAACAACCGTATGAAAACTTTTTTATTCTGTATGAAATGTGATACTAAATTGATATTAAATTTATCATATGTTCCTAAGCATTTAATTATTTTCTGTTGTGTTTTGAGGTAAGTTTTATTACAGTTTAGAGTAACTGATATTTTAAATTTACAGTTTTATTATCAATTTAAAAATTTTAAATTTACTTATAGATATATAATATCACATCCTAATGGACCAGTGTTATATAAAGAAGAATTTGATTGTTTTTTAGCACAAGCTGTATCACACACCTTGCTAGATTCAAGTTTTAATCATAATATTGAAGTAGGAATATAATTTTATTTTGTTATAACTAAATTGATAATATAAATTTCTTATTTTTAAATTATACATATTATATTTTAGATAACTGAACTTACTGTACGAGGTGTATTATTAGCGTCTTTTTTTATGCATGGTGTTGAACATGCAATATTTATTAATGAAATATGTGGTTTACCTATTCCTCCTGCTATGTATTATCCATTTCTTTACTTTGATGGAAAACGGTTTCAAGATAAATTATCAAAAATAAACAAAGGGAAAGATATTGTTGAACTCTGTGATGGAAATGTAAGTAAATGTGTAATATACAGTANGTGTGAACCTTTTTGGGATGTTTCTTTTCAATAAAATCAGCCACTTTCTGATAATACCTCGAGATTTCATTCATCGAGCAAGATCCTTCCACGACGAAGCAAATGCGCAGACTGAGACCAATGAATAGAAGTGAATAAAAAATGGTGCTGCAAACTAATGTAACGTCATATGGTGAGTTTTTGTTCGTAACGTGGAGCAAAAATATGTTTGAATTTCTTGTCGTATCCTGAAAATTTCGTATGCTGGGGCATTCGTATCCTGAGGTACCACTGTATTTATATATTTTTTTCTTGAATCACTTTTTGGTGATTCAAAAGGCTGTCATTTGATGTAAACCACACTGTAATATGCCAATTTCTTGATTTTATACAATATTTTTAAAAGTCTACAAACTTTAGTTTTTAGCCAGTTTTAGCCAGTCATACATTTCATAGATTATGTATTCTTAATAATTTAATTTTTTAATTAACTTACAATTTCCAAAATAAAGGAATTTAACATAAAGTGAAACATGTGGCATTTTTTATTGGCAGATTGGTCTGTAGACAGTGAAGCATCAGATTTGTTTACTAAAATAAATTTTTATGGGTTGGTCATTTGAAGGAAATTATGGACTTTTGCAAATTTTTCTATTAAAAAAATTAAACAGGTACATAAAATATATAAATATAAAGAAAGACAAATTTTCCGAAGAAAAATCAAGAGAAAAGATGACAAAATTCAACGTCACACGAATCCAAAGACAAATGTGCCTACAAAGGCCTCACACAGATACAACTGTGCCACAAACAAACAAAATGGCTCTTTTATTTATAAGATTTATGAATCAGTAAAAAAAATAAATGATTTAATAATAAATTTCTCAAAATGAATTTCTAAGGATGTGAAAATTAAAATATATACAATATCAATATAGGTTGCAAGTTTTTAAATGAGGAAATTTATATGTAAAAATAAAAAAATATATAAATGTAATGTAATACAAAGTGTACTATGGTGATGTGATTTGAAGAAAATTTTTTCAATATTTATCAGGAGGCAAGATGGACGATTTATTGGGTTGTTTTGTAAAATTCAAAATGAGTAAATACTTTATTAATTTTGTTATAAATCTATTTTTTCTAAACACCAAAAAGTGATTCAAGAAAAAAATATATAAATATATATTTTTTCTTGAATCAGAGTCCTCCTTTTAAAAAGGAGGACCTTTTGAGATACACTCAGACGAAAAGATGGAGTGAACATGCATGATGAAGGTTATAGATTTTTCACAGGAATATGTAAAAATAGCCAATCATAATAAATAAAACTGTTAAAAGATATAGAATATATACATTTTTAAAAGTTAAAAAGTTTAGAATGACTTAAAAAATGTAATGAATAGTGACTTATTACATTTCTTAAGTTGCTAAAAACTTTACAAAATTTAAATTTTATTATAAATGTTGAGTGTTATTAACTGTACTGTTAACAGAAAGATGAATGTGTTGAAGTAGAAAAATATTAATCAAAGATACTGAAACATTTAATAATATATCTGATTGTAATATAAGTTTTAAGAAATTTACTTTAAAAAAATATTTAATTGTGAATTAAGTTACCAGGAGATAAAAGTTTATTTGTGAGACAGAGTGAGGAGCTTGGCAATTGCCAAAATCATTATTATGACCAATGTGATGAGCCTGTCACATTGATCACAATAAACATGAATATTTTTATTTACTTTTTTGGAATTTTAAATGTTATCCCTTAAGACTGCAGTAAATAACTGTTTGCAATTTAAACATTGATGATGATAAATGAATACTTGTTGTATTTAAAAGAATGATAGATTTCGATTTGGAATTGTTACTGTAGTGATATCTACAGGTTTCCAATTGTGGAGATTGCTGTAGTAAAAGTTAAAATTTTTTCCTACTGGCCATAATGTGATGTCATACGAAGTGTTGAGTCCAACACGGAACTCAGTTTCTGGACTTGGACTCACCTTTCACTACTCCTTGCTCTACCTCCCTCAAATAAACTGTTTATTTGATCATCCTGTAGAATAATAATGATTAATTTAATAAGATTATTAATAAAAATATATGACAACTTTAATCTTTGAAATGTATTTTACAGGAAAATACTTTTTCGAAAACAATTATTAATGCCAAAAAATTAAACTTGGAGAAAATGATGGAATCTTTAAAAATTCATCATGATCATTTAGTCATTTTAACTGCTATTCTCAGTAATAAAATTTTATCAAATCATTTTATTCCTTGTAGTAGTAATACACTTAAGTATTATAAGGTAAAAATTATTTTTTAAAAATAATTTTAAGAAATTCAATAAATTATTAAAATTCAAAATATCTTTCTATTGTCTTTCAGAGTTATAACAAGGACATTTTTACAGAATTTATTAAATTAATTGTTAATTTGCCTACTGAATTTGAAGTTTCAGAATTAGCATCAAATTTATTTAGTTTGTCTGCTCAGGGAAAACACGAATTGTTTATTAATTGGTTTAATTATTACAAAAGTTTTAAAATTAATGATAAAGAATGTTCAGAGGAATTGAAAATATCAGGTTAGTAAAAATTTAATTTTTAATAAAACAAATTTTTATTCGCTAATTGTTAAGTAAAATATCTGAATACTGTATATTTCCACAGATAAGACGACAGTTGAATCATAAAAAAAGCCCCCAAAATCCAGGGTCATCTTATAGGGCAGATACAAAAAAAAAATAATTTAAATTTATATAAATTAAAACTATTATNTAATTAACCTTAATCTTATAATAGTCACAAAATTCTGAATGGCTAACATAAGATTTTGTATATTAAAGTGAGACATTTATTTTGAAGTTATTTAGTTCTTTAGCAACCAATAATAGATTATATATAAATTGTCCTTTAAACAGTACTTATGGAAAATATATAAAATTCTAATTTACAAGTAATCTTCAATATCTCCAATGGGGAAAACTATATTCTAAACTCCAACTTAGAAAAGTTAGTTCTGAATTTATGATTAGAGAGTTAAAAATTCCTACAAACAGATGAATTTAGATTATTTATACAGTCGGTGCTCTCTTAGCTGGCTGCAGAATACTTAACCACTGTTTTAATTGGTCATTGGCTGCTTTACTACTAATTGTTGATTGTCTTTTATTAATCTCAAGAACAGAGTTAGCTATGAAAATTGAGACCAGATATAGAAAACTTAGTGGCCAGAGACACTGATGAACTACATACAAACTTCCAGTCTGAACTATTTAAAGATGATTAAAAATTGTGGCTCAGGTATATGTATATAAATATAACAAACATTGCAAAGCCCAATGAGTATATATAGAAACATCCAATGATTGCCTAAATGATCAGGCTACAATTTGCTTAATTAAATAATTAATACAAAGTAATTTGTCACTAGAGGGACAAATTACTTTGGCATTAATTATTGGCAAGTTCACCGCATGGCAAGCGGAGGTTGCGGGTTCAAGATCTGACCCAGATCAGTTCTTTTCTTCCAGATGGTTCTAAATTATTTAATAAATTATTAAAATTATAATTATTAATTTAGTTAAGAGATGGTGCCTATAATTATTAATTTAGTTAAGAGATGTTGCTTCTAGTGAGAAATTACTTTATATTAATTTATTTAATTAGCCAAATTGTAGCCTGATCATTTAGGCAATTGTTAGATGTTTCTATATTCTAGCCCAGCATTGTGATGAGATCAGGATAATTAATTGTTCGTTCAGTTTTAACATTTCACTGAAACAGTTTGTGGATTTTGTTGTGATTACTACTGCATATGATAACTGTGATGAATAGTATGAAATAAAAGTATTGTTACATGGCAAATGCAATTAAGAAAAGGGATATGGGAGAATCTGTGAGAAAATTTGCAATGAATTAGGTATTGGAAAAAGTACAGTTAATGATTAATCACAAAACAATCAATCAATAAAGGATATTTATGAAATGCTGCATTTGCAATGATGTTCAAAGTGTTATGAATCTAGAACAGTTGACCTGATCATGATCCAAACGAAAGATTGAAAATGTTCAGGATCTTCTTTTTCAGGATCTTGGATCTTGGATTCTCCATCTGGTTCTTGAGTATAGCCCACAGGTTTGATTGATTATGTTAATATTAGGGTTTAATGCTGTCCAGTCCGGTCCAGGTCATCAATGTTGTGGACCACAAACCACTGTTGTGTTTACTTCACAATTTGTGGGCATGCATTGTAATGCTGAGGAGTGTATCCTTCTGGATAGAGCAAACTCATCATCTCCAATAAACATTCATGCAAGATGTTTTGATATTGTTAAATTTGAATGGATTCTTGGGTGATTTTGAGTGGTGTGATCCTTTGAGTGCTGATGCCAACCCTATACCATGACAGTGGGTCTGTGTACTACTGTTGGTTTTTGTGACCAGGTCTGTCCACATGACATCAATTTGTTTCAGAACAGCTCAAAATAACTCTTATCATTAAACATTACCTTGCTCCAGTCTCAATTCAAATTGGCCATGGCCCAGAGCATTGTCATTTGTATTCTGTTGTTAATATGGGTATATTGAGAGGCCTCCATTTATTGATGCTGACATGATAATTTCAAGGAACACTGGGTACATATGCTCACTTTTGGATCTTCCTGTTCCTTCATCTCTGTGGCAATCTGACACAATGACCACTTTGGGTGACACAGCACCAGTTGTGCCACGTGTCATTTGTTGTTCACTGAGAGTCTGATTCCATCCTGATCCCAACGTACATTCTGGTCCACATCTATCCTTATACCACTTCAACATTCTGTATGCAGCAACACTGTGAACACCAGTTAATCTGGCCATTCATTCACATCCATTATCATGTTGTTGATAAGCATGTAGAGTGCCTTTTTTATATCTCTTCCATGGTGATAGCATTGGAGTTTAGGGGTCAAAATAGTGAGTCCAAACCTGTCACAATAACAGGGTCAATCTCAAATGAACATATAACATGCCCTCTGGTAGTGTAATGAAATTAAAAGATTTGAAATTAGCATAGATGAAATGTATAGCCTTGGTCAGAAATATCCCTGTTGCCATTTTTATTCACTTCATACCATATAATAATAATATTTATCATAAGAAAGAAAGACTACAAGTTGGGCACAATTTTATGGCACATTGCAAACAAATAGACAAATCACACAATGAACATGATGCATTTATTTGGCAATTTTTTTTTTTCTGAGGGACAAATTGCATGTCTTGAAGCTATACTGGTTTATATGTGTCTTCCATAGCAATTCCAAGAATATCTGAGGCCAGAGTACATAGTTTCCAAGGTACTTTTTTATTGTTTATTTTCTCTTCATATGGGGGTGTACAGTGCCAGTTCTTTTAAAAAATTGGAGCAAGATAATACATTTTTCTTAGATAACTAGTAAATAACATGAATGTTTTCTCCAGATTTCTTTCAAAAACTTTTTACTGTGTAATCTCCAAGTTCTGTATCAATCATTTACTTGAAGAAGCCATTTTACCATTTTCATACCACAAATTTTCTAAATATTTTGCATATGAAATTTTTAACAATTGAGTTGTTGCAATGCAGACTACTTTTTATAATATTAACTAATTCTCAATATTATAAAAAGTAATAATCTTATTTATATAAAAACATAATTTCTTAAAAATTATTTTACTTATGTAATTGCTACTGATGATATGGAGTTAATTATTTCAATATTAGATGTGTAGTGAATAGTTACTCACTACATGTCTCAAAAAATAACTGACATTAGAGCATATTAAAAATTACACCTCTCCCACTATTCCATTACTCTTGGTATCACAAATTGTGTCTAGGCTGGGTTACAGAGACCCGTTGATAACAGTTATGGGTTAAACAATAATGAAAGGTTAGTTTAGACCAGGAATCTTGTAGTCGGAGTTGGAGTCATGGAGTTTGGTGTTTAGTTGGAGTCGTCAAAAATCCGCCAACTCTGACTTCTTTTTACTTTTCTAACTTGTTATGTATATAAAATGGAAAAGTATTGGAATGGTGTCAAATTTGACACTCCAAATTTTTGGCAAATTCTCAAAATTTTTGGCAAATCTACATGTTTGGAGACTTCCTGAACCCTAAAAATGTCAAATAAAGGGGGAAAATTTCTATGTGTGTTAGTGTCTAATTTGTTCAATTTCTTTATTCTTTGTTCTGTGATATTAGCAGTGATGTCAAGAGATATTGCTGGCGCAAGGAAAAAATTTACATGGGCTTCAGGAATGATTGAAAAAAGTTGTGGAATGAAGTCTGGGTTCCTGTGAATCTCGAGCCTGGAAAATTTTACTTCATCGTCCCACTCTCTCATTGATCCTGTCCATAAGATGCTTATTAAAAATTTCTGCATAAAATGTTTCCTTGTGAGATGTTACAAAGTGTCGATTCCACGAAGCAATTTTTACCTGCCACGTCAGTGGCCAATTGTGTTTTCCTCAGAAAATGCATGCACAGAAATTCTGTAGTCTCAATAGAAGGGCAGCACAATTTTTGATATTACTGATATTGGGAGTTAATACTGAAATTTATGAAGTTAATTAATTTAACAACCCAATGCTAAGAAACTAAAATTTTAAAATTTTGATTACAAATGAAATTCATTACAGTTGATTCCAGTATTGACAATTAAACAATTTCTAACTGATTTCTAACCAACTAATAGTTTTATTTTGTATTTTTAAAAAAAAGTCATCAGAATTTTTGTCATTATTACTTTCCTGACTGTCATACAGTATAGGCCTCTAACAAAGAAAAAGAATGAAGATCAGTCAAAAATGACTTACCCAGATTTCTATTCTTTTGTATTTGGGAAACTTTGAAATGTAGAGAAGTGCAAAAATATTTGGGGACTTTTTTTATTCAAAAACCACAGATATTAAGCTTCAAACAGGGTGAACAAAATTATGTCCCACACACAGTCTAACATCTATACATACAGGAAAAAAACCTTGAATCTTTTGCATATCTTGACATTTCAAGGTATCCCAAGTCCAAAAATGTAAAAATTTGGGGGGTCATTTTTTAATCGATTGGTACACTTTCCCTCTGTTATATATAACAGCCAGAAAAGTGAAAATTATCGAATACATATTTGTACCATTGACTATGTCATTACTTAGAAGAGTGTTTTAGCTTTGGAATAAAAAAGTTTCTACATTCTATCTTTATTAGAACTCTATTTATTGAAACCTATATTCTGAGGTCACTTGATGACAGAATTCCTGGCCTATTATGGTAACAAGTCTGCCCCTGGTCAGAGTCGGATGGTAAGGCAAAGTCAGAGTTGGTAGATTTTTACATGACTTCACAGCCCTGGTTTAGATATAAAGAAAACTAGCAACTTGATGACAAGAGTTAATAAATGAATTGATGTATACAGATAGCACTTTATATAATTAGACTGTTTTGTTTTGTGTGTCTAAATGTTATATTCTGCACTTAAACACATTACAATATTATGTTTTTTCATGTGTTAAGAACCACTGTTATAGATGTATATATACACCATGCCAGGGTAAAACAATGGCTGGCTGAGTATCATAGTGAGTGTTTATAGGCCATGGTAATCTCAAGTCAGTGCCATAATAACCATGGATGGTTATTTCTAACGTATTATGCTCTGTTTATAAAACTTTTTTGTTAAAATATGAAATCTTTATCTATTCTATTTCTTCTGAGTTACCTGTATTTTGAATTTTGGATGCAGTCTGCTTTTTTGCATTTACTCTTTACTAGACATTTATTTCTAAGAAACTAATGTACTTTCTTATCAAAAAATGAACATATTGTAAATGAATAAAATGTGTCTTCATCCAGTCTACATTTGACAATTTGTAAGTTAACTTTAACTTTATTCAATCAATTCTAATGCACAGATATAGTAAAGAAGAAGAATTTTGAAATATAACTCTAAACAAGAACTTTAAAAAATTTGATTGTTAAATAATTTAAATTTTTTTGTATTTTTTAGATTATAACATAATCTCTGTTAAAGAGTGGATTTGGAACAAAAGAAATAACTATAATTATCCAGAATCAGTCAATATTTCATCTCTTGATGAATCAGTATTACCTATTGAAAGGTTATGGTTCGGAAATACTGCAGATGATATCAACAACCGTATGAAAACTTTTTTATTCTGTATGAAATGTGATACTAAATTGATATTAAATTTATCATATGTTCCTAAGCATTTAATTATTTTCTGTTGTGTTTTGAGGTAAGTTTTATTACAGTTTAGAGTAACTGATATTTTAAATTTACAGTTTTATTATCAATTTAAAAATTTTAAATTTACTTATAGATATATAATATCACATCCTAATGGACCAGTGTTATATAAAGAAGAATTTGATTGTTTTTTAGCACAAGCTGTATCACACACCTTGCTAGATTCAAGTTTTAATCATAATATTGAAGTAGGAATATAATTTTATTTTGTTATAACTAAATTGATAATATAAATTTCTTATTTTTAAATTATACATATTATATTTTAGATAACTGAACTTACTGTACGAGGTGTATTATTAGCGTCTTTTTTTATGCATGGTGTTGAACATGCAATATTTATTAATGAAATATGTGGTTTACCTATTCCTCCTGCTATGTATTATCCATTTCTTTACTTTGATGGAAAACGGTTTCAAGATAAATTATCAAAAATAAACAAAGGGAAAGATATTGTTGAACTCTGTGATGGAAATGTAAGTAAATGTGTAATATACAGTATATATATTTAATAAACTATAATATTTAAAACCTTATTAATTTAAATTTATTATTATATTTTTATTTTTAGTAGTGAAATTATTTCTTTACATTCCAACGAGTAGGGAGAGAATTGCAAAAAAATGCCTTCATTTCAGGCTATGTGTTTATCTTTCTTCAAACAATACAGTAGAGCGTCGATTATCCGAATGCTGTCAATTAAAATGTCGGTTAACCGAAAGCGTTCCAGTCGGACTGTGTCGTGCTGAATCAAACATTTTTGATACTAGATTAACTTCTAAAGTATAATTTTTTTTGTTTTTATATTTTTCAATATATTCGTTTTTTTTTGTACAAAATAAAGAAATAATTTTTAGCAATACAATAGCCACAATTATTATTATAAAAATTTTCGTTAGGCTTAACATCGACAAAAATTCAATGCAAAGCGACACAACGGAGGAAAATTTAAACATGGGATATATTAATATACTATTATTGTCATATACTAATATACTATATTAATAATGTATTTTTCGTACATAATTGGTTATCCAAAAAATCAATTTTCCGAACAACCCCAGTTCCCAATTGACTCGGATAATCGACGCTCTACTGTAATTTAAAGAGAGCTGAAGCAAAGATAATAGCTCAAAATGTATATTGCTAAGTTTCTGTTAAATAGACTTGAATAGATATAAGAATATTTTAAAGGAAAAAGAAAGAAATTTTGCATATTTACATTGATCACTGGAATGCAAAGAACAGATTTTACAACCAAAAAATTGAAAAGAAAAATACTGTGGCTTGAAATGTCAAATTTATTATTATTTTTAGCTTAATGAAGTGGCAGTCCTCGAGAAACTGAGAACAGCAATACTTGATGGATTGACTGTTCATTTTGCCTTTCCATTAGTAAAACAGACAAAAAGTCAAATGTATAAAGATGCTAAAGAGTCAAATGCTAAAGAATATGTTGAAAATAAAGAAAAATTCATACCTGCTGGTAAGAAAATACAAAATAATAATAATATGAAATGAAATATGTAAAATCTTTAATTTTTGTTTTTGAATTTATATTCGTTTCTTAATCTGGCAGTATTTATTAGCAGAAATTTTTGTTACATTTGAATTAATTTAAATATCAAATCAAACTTATTTTACAGTTTTCTTCTAAATTAAAATAATCATATGAACAATGTTTCCTCTAATTTTTTTTGTCGATGAGCGGAACATATACTTCTCTGAGCAAAAAAAATTTTCTGAGCATATATATATAAAATCTTATTTTTTTCTATAAAAATTAAAATAATTAATTATAAAGTAGATATTAAAATTCATTTAAAAACATACTTTTATACAAATTATTATCTCTTGTCAATGATTTAATGTGTTTAATCGAAATATACATAGCAATAATCATGTTTGCGACAGAGTGAGAAATAAGTAAACAACAATTCAAATCGGTGTGCATGCTCGCCTGCGCGGCACATAAATTCTAGTGTGCGACAACAATTTGACCAGTGTGCAGCCGCGCAGCTTAGAGGGAACATTGCATATGAGTAGAAACTAAAAGATAAAATTTTATAAATCTCTTATTTTGTTTGTATCAGAGACAGTTCTTGTCAACAGGGACGCCAAGTATTATCAATTTTCTAAAATAATAATAAATAATGGTAGGACAGAAGATATTTGAATATTATGTTTTTTATATATGGCAGAATTTTATATTTTTGTATAGTCATAACTTCCTTGCTAGTAAGAGGAAATTGTTTAAAAAATGTACAATAGAAAATAAAGATATAATAGTTCCATAAAGCATATAAAAACTTTTTTTCTGGTGATAATCTTGAAAATCCATTGTCTAAAGTTAGAAATTTTTCCTTTAATTGCTAGATAATCCTTATAACCTGATAAACTCTTTAAAATATTTAAATGTGTTTGTTTCCATCATTTGTGCAATACAACTGGTTCCCACTTTTAGAAGTTAATTGGTTCCTAGAAGTTACTCATAAAGCAGAAGCTAATTTTTTATACAAATAAATACATAATGCATAATTATGTTCCTGCGTATGGAATTTTAGATAGGATAATGTTGAAAAACAACAAAAATATTTAACAACAAAATTTTTTCTCTTATATTATATTTGCATTATAACAAAAATATTATTATTATATTTTTTAACATTAATTTATTTCTTTTTAAAGAAAAAAATAAACAAAATTCCCTCTTTAAATATTTTTTGTGGTTGACTACACCTATAACACTATACTTATGAAAATCAAAATCTATATATATATATATAAATGGATGTGTGTGTCCCTATATTTCACTTTTCCTCCAAAACTACACATCACACATGAATGGTGTTTGTATGTGTAGTAGCCCCAAGTCTCCATTTGTGCACTATGGTCTATGGTGGTTGTGTCTCGATAGCTATAAGGTGCGGGAGATATGGGGGCTTAAAGTGGTTGACTTCGAAGATTTTCTATTTCGATTTTAAAAATGTTCGAACCATTTTAAATTTGAATTTGTATTTGAATTTGAATTGGTTCGATTATAGAATGATTGTAAACGTTCCAGAAAATTGATCAAATTGAAAATAGTTCGTTTGACTGGACGTAAAAATTCTCTAATTAATCTGGAAACTGGGGACCTAATTGTTGCATTCTGTGAAAACGGGTAAGATCGGCTATAATGTAATTATCTTAATCTTCAATATCGTTACTTTTTGCCCAGCGAAGCGAGTCCTTGCAGCTAGATTCTAGATTACTTAGAAAAACAGTCTTTTATATATTAAAAAAAAACTATATTACTTACAAATAAAAACCCAGCGAAGCGGGTCCTTGCAGCTAGTTATATATAAAGACAGTGCTTGCAATAGTAACTTTATGGCACGGATGATGCAAACACTGTGTTTATATATAATTTTGATTTCCGTAAGTATAGTGTTATAGGTGTAGTCTAACCACAAAATACGATATGACAATTCGTTTATAATTAGTGATTAAAGCATTCATTAGGATAGGGCATTCAAGCAATTATGCCATGAATGCCATAATCACTTTGATTTTTATGCATCAGCATGCAGTTTCTCATCCGTCTGCTGATTCTTTGCTTTGCAAATTCAATTTTAATCCATTTTGTTTATATTTTTAGGATATTCTTTTAATCTTGGAGGGGAGCTTCAAGTTGCTGGTATGGTGGTTGGAAAATGGGCATCCAGCATTAAAAAAAAAGCTTACTGTCGAGGGAATCCAGTGCAAATGGATAAAAGTACCTCATTACGAAAAGTCGGAAGATGTTTTAAGTATGTTTTATTTATAAATTGAATCATAGTCATTAAAAATTTTTCTGAATAAAATTTTATATTTTAGAACAGAAAAACAAAATTATCAACAAAAAAGTACAAATTATATGTATAGAAATAAGGAAGTTGATCGTGGATTTGGCCAACTACTAGTAAGAAAAATAAATTTATACCTAATTAATATGTTTATAAGAGTTATATATTTTTTTTTATTTAACAGTAATGATATATATTATTGTAATAGAATCTACATAATCAAAGCAACAATTGAAAAACACTCTATTTGCATACAATAGTCTGCTTATTGTAGTTGATAATATTGTTATCGGTCATGTAGTGTTATTAAAAGTACATGTTTCAAGCACATATGTTAAAATACATTTATAAAACTTTGATTATTGTAATCAGAATTTATAGTCATTTTTGAACAGTCTCTTTCTGCTATCAGTCTCAGTAGGCAGCCGATAAAGTGATTAAAAAATGAATAACTTGAATATAGTTAATAACAACTATCTTTGTTTCATTTTTAATCATTTTAACACATGTTTTTAATCCCATAATGAACAAAAAGTGGAATTATAACTGCAAGCCTTATTTACTTACCCACTAAAATTATGAATTGGTAGGCTTACCAGATGTCCTGCTTTGACTGGGACTGTTCTAGTTTGATGATGTGGTTCCTGCGTCCCACCCAGTTTGGCATTTTATCCCAGTTTTTTGGTAAAATTTTAAAAGTGCCAAATATACAAGAAGTAAAAATAGTGCAGCCTTGGGTAAAATTGTGATTTGACAACTAAAATATCCCTTCTATTACACTTACTGTTGCCAATCTAAATATTTTGTATCTAGACCTAAGTACTTTTAATGTTATCTAGATATTTTCCCCCAAAATTTATAGCATGTGGCCTCATGAATTTAGATGTTTTATTTTTTCACAGAATTTTTAATAGCATATAGTTGATGAGATCTGCATGTTTTTATTTTAATTTTTTAGATATTTTGTTTCAATTAGAGTTGGCAACACTAAAACTTACACTGACACGTCATTGTTTCACATGTCCTATCTTAGTCGAGTTTGAATTGCTAGTCAGCATTTGCAATTATTTTGTACTGTGCATTAAATTAATTTAATCGCCAAAATGCCTAAAAGAAACTGTGTGTTTACCAATGAATTAAAACAGGATTATTCGTTTTTGAAAAAGTTTGCAATTGTATTGACAAAGTGAAATGTGAACTGTGCTTTTCAGAATTTTCAGTAACTTGTGGTGAGCATTCAGACATTAAAATTTCTTGAAATGTGTGAAACATAAGGAAAGGATAGTAGCAGTGGAAGGAACTTCCTCAAATATACTTGTATTTTCATATTTAAAGGTATTGATTTAAATTGCATTAAATTTTGATGCCATTAAAAATAACATAGAATTTTTAAATAAAGTTTACACTAGTGATAAATATTANTAAGGAAAGGATAGTAGCAGTGGAAGGAACTTCCTCAAATATACTTGTATTTTCATATTTAAAGGTACTGATTTAAATTGCATTAAATTTTGATGCCATTAAAAATAACATAGAATTTTTAAATAAAGTTTACACTAGTGATAAATATTAATAACTTCTTAATAATAAGGTATGTTCAGTTGAGTTGTTATTAAAAAAATTGTTTTTAACTCATTGGTTTTTGTTAACAACTTCTTTGTTTAGCCTTTTCAGTCATAGGAACTTATCATAGTAGGTTATTTTATGTTGTGAGTATTTTCTCATAATTGCCCCAGTTTGAAAAAAAAATATTATGATAAGCCTACCAATTGGTTATTGTCAGTAGTGCATTATAGCTTACACGAGGCCCATGCAAATTTGAATTAGGTGGCCCCATGCACAATGTTGACTTCAGACACTTTTCTTCGGGGAATTTTTTTAGATGGAAATATTTTCATATAAAAGATTGGTTTGGAATGTCCTGTTGTTGGAGACCCCAAGGAATTGCCCTTTTTGCCCATATTATAATGCATCACTGGTTATTGTCATCTGTATGGGCAAGTCCCAAAATGATTACAGTAAGTGGATTCTATTATGTATTTAGTTTGCTTCACACAGAGCTATACACAAAAAGAGAAATAAATGATGTTTCAATATTACTATGGTAAGAAAATTGCAGTTCATATGCAATGTGTGCGTGTTATCTTATTTGTTCATTTCTCAAAATAAATGAATAAGATGGAAACAAAGTATTTGTTAACGGGTTTTCAACCCCTCCAAATTTTAGAAATTAATAGCATTAACTTTATATTAATTAAAGCTTCTTGCACAAATTAATTTTCAGTAAAGATGTCCCATACACTATGTAGCAGAGATATCAGAGATTTATCACACTATTAGTGAGGTTATCAAAATGCCACTTCTATAGTTAGAATTCATTTTGGCCCTTAATTAAGACTCTCTTTGGCCTCTTAATTAAGACTTAATTAATATAAAATGAATAAACAGGTATCTACAGTCGTTATAAAATTATAAAAACTATTAACAGTAAGAAGGTTAACAAAGTAATTACACATTTTACAACTAAGATCAGAATGATCCAATATGCCTGTGGTAATCATAACCATAAATTGTACTGGCTGTATATTAAATTACATAGACAGTTTGAAGCTATAGAAACTTGCATAAAAATATATAATTTTTCGAGTCTTTCTTTTCCTTTTTCACAGACCAATTCAGAAGTAACAGTCAATTAGCTTAAAGAAATAAAAAATCTTCTTAAGACATCATAAATAGATTATTAAAAAATTACCACAAAGTTAAAAAATGAACAAAATGCCGATTTTTTATTAGAGGCTATGGCACTTTCACAATAAAAACAATGATAGGAAATTTTTTACAATATCTATGTCTTGTAGCATTTTTAACTGCTTCTAGCTTCTGGTGATCCTTTTGGGTAATCACAAAATACTTTGTATAAAGTCATACATTATTTTCATAAAGACAACATATCCCAAGGATTATATAGAGGCTTACAATCACAATTAAACATATGAACAACACCAATTTTTGTAAAATATCAGTATTATCTTTTGGTTGTCTATTTTTAGACAACATAAACCCTATTGTCATTTTATATGCCCAGCTGTTATGTATATATAAAAGTATTGAAATTGTGTCAAATTTGACCATTTGAGTTTTTTGTAAATCACTATGTTTGATACACCCCCTGAATCCAAAAAAAGTAAATATGGGGGAATTTCTCTCTCTCTCTCTCTCTCTCTCTCTGTGCATGTGTGTGTGTGTTGGTGTCTATTTCTTTTTTTCTTTTAATATCTCAATTGGGGTAATGATTAAGAAATGAAATTTTGAATGGTAGCTTGTGTATAAGGGGGATTAATGCTTTTAAAGTTTGGTGATTAAGGTCGAGTGGGTGGGAAGATAGAGGGGCGTAATGTAATTTGTCATATCTCGAGCGGTCAGACTTAATGAAGATTTTACTTGTTATTAACAATTACAATTTTTTTTATAAAACTGATCACTACCCTCAAAATTAAGATTTTTGCCATTTTTTAATAATTAATAATATGAAAAAGTTCGAGTGGGTGGAAGATAGAGGGGCGTAATGTAATGTGTCATATCTCGAGGGGTCGGACTTAATGAAGACTTTACTTGTTATTAACAATTACAATTTTTTTTATAAAACTGATCACTACCCTCAAAATTAAGATTTTTGCCATTTTTTAATAATTAATAATATAAAAAGTTTTTATAACAATCTTGTAACAAATTGCACCATACACATTTTTTCATTATGATTAATAATATGAGATTTTATTTCAAAAATAACATTTATTACAGTCTGGAAAATTACACAACTTGTTTGCTAGATTTTTTTAAATAAGAAGTAACTGTAATAATATAAAATTTCATTAATTTTGTAATTTCTTCAAAAACACCTTCTATATACACCTTTTAAACTAACCATACTTCACATTAAAAATTACTTTATTATGTTTGGAATTAACTGAAAAGTTTTTAAACTAATTCTTTTAGTTATTTCAGATAATTATTCAATAAGTATATTTTCATTACATTTTGTACTGTATTTCTTATTCAAGGTCCTCTAATTTAGTTGTTCTATTTACAATCTTACTTGGCTTATATACATATTAAATCTATTTATTTTTATATATATTGGAAGGCTATCTGTATAATCTGTTACCTTTGATATATTGCATTCTTTTACATACCTGTTGATGATAATTTCTTTTTTGTTTTTGTTCTAGTTAATACTATATCTAAAAAAAGTAATTTTCTTTTCATCAATTCAAATACAATATTGTTATATATATTAATAATGATAGAAAATGACAAAATCAAAATCAAAGATAATCATATACAATAAAGTAATCATCTACGTAAGGATTTCAGATATTTATGCACAGTATATTATCTATTACTGTATTTGATTGATATTTATGGTAGTTAATTTTTCCAATTTAAGACCTGTAGAGGACATAGCATTGGGTTCGTCTTTCTGTCTATGAAATTTAATTTTTGTACACAAAATAATTATGACATAATACAAACACAGCCAATCATAATAAATTCGACATAGATTAGTTCACATATTCTCTATTATACAATATGTAATTAAGGGGGTACCTAGTTTTTCATGGGGTGAAGCCATTTTATAATTCGTTAATATAACTAGACTGTTAATATTATCTAAAAACATTTTGTATTATTAATTCTGGAAGTAGAATTTATTAACGTCTGTAGTTCCTTTTTTAGATATTGTATACTTAATATAATATTTAATATCCACCAATAGTCTGAATGCAATGGGTTGTTTATGAATATGATAAGTCCGCTACATAGTGTATGAAATAACTTTACGGAGCATTAGCTTTCGTTTATTAATACATGGTTATTCATAATTTGGAGGAGCATTTTAGAAATTTTTTCCTACAACTGTTAAGACACCAACGGAAAGACAGACCGTCCAAGTTTTGTTTACAAACCTTAAGAGATGGCACACGTCGAGCGGATAGTGCAGTTCGGACCGCATCTGGCCTAGCATTTCATTGTCGATCGATTCTATGGCGGTAAGTCCTCCCAGTCTGCCACGTTGGTGGACAACGGGGGCAAAACCGATTCTTCTCAAACCCCTACAAAGAAACAGTTGCAAAGTATCAGTTCGAGAGAAGGTGGCGAGACTGCACGATTGGGTACCGGTTATTGAAACTTCCCCGAAGACCGGCACGACTCTATTGCTAACGGAAAAGTATGTTGTACAGAAGCAAGACACTACTAATTTGAGGCGGAGAGCATGTATTTTAAATGAAATAAGTGAAAAATATGATTAAAAATTACAGCCCGGCATTGTGACGATGTCATTGCTCGTTTCGAAGTAAATTTTTGTCTTTTTACTCATCCAATGTTGCCTCCAGTCTTCTTTTCGTAGTGCCCGCTTTGGGAATGGCCGGTGGGAGAATAAGGCGCAACTTTTTGAAATTACGGAATAACGGGTTCCGTTTGGTTAAAATAGTTTTAAATATTAATTTTTACTTTATAAAAGATAATTATAACTGATGCGATTAAATTGAAATTTAAGTTTTCTTTTTCCAGAAAAACAAGAGAGAGAAAAAGTTAGGAAATAATATCGCAGAAGGAATGAAAAAAATGAATTTAGGTTTGGGTAGAGGGTGTACGATGGAGACGAAAAGGTGGGTGAGGCTAAACGATAACGATAATAATAATAATAAGCATAAATATTTAATGCCGAGTTTATTTATTTTTAGTAAAGTGTTGCCCGTCGGCCAGCTGAAGGAGGACTCTGACCATTCGGACACCGAAAATAACGAAATAACCGTGGAAGAAAACGAAAGGGAAATATTTTCGGCGGAAGAGGAGAAACCGACACGAACGGAAGAAGGCGACGATGGAGATCTCATTCCTCAGTTTACCCTAAACAGTTATTTGTCTCTGAAAACCGAAAATTGAAACTATTCGACTAATGGCCCTGATGCCGTGTTAAATGTTTTCCTCTTCGTCCGTCTGTAAAACCGGCGAAAGGAGGAGGAGACCCGCCGTTTTTTAATGGGTAAAATTTACCGATTTACTAGCAAGGACCCCTCGCTCGTCGGCGGGAGCAGATATTTCCTATAAATTATAATTTCCGGAGAAACGTACGGTTTCTACGTTTCTCTCTTATTTTACGGAAAGACGACAAATGAAGTTTGTGTTGGTCCGGAAATCGCCAAAATAATTAATTTAGGAACGATTTTCACCGCTGTTATTATTTGTGTCATTTTTATTTCCATTAATTAATAAAAGTATTTTAAATAAATTGGTTTTATTATGTAAAATACGGTATTAATT